CACACACACACACACACACACACACACACACACACACACACACACACACACACATTCTCTCTCATATATACATATATATATATATATATGTATATATATATATATATATATATATGGGTATAGAGATGCTATATAAAAAATAATGAAGGCTGGGGCATGGCTCAAGTGGTTGAATACTTGCCTAGCAAGAATAAAATCCTGAGTTTGAATTCCAGAACTACAAAAAAAGAACCGTTAGAACTTATGTGCATTTAGTAAGCAAGAAGTATAGATTTCTTTCATTAGGTTTATTCATTATACTCTTTTCAAAAACATTTAGCACTAATTGTGATATTTACATACATGCATATAATGTGCTTTGATCAAATCAACATTTATATTACTCTTTCTGAATCACTCGCTTTCCTGACCTCTCCTTTTTAAACACACATAATTTACATACACACATATACACACATTAATTATGTTCATACACTATTACCTTCTCCTTTACAGTTACCAATAAGTTACAAGTAAAACTAAGATATAAGGCAATAACCCATGAAGCCAGGCACTGGTGGCTCATGCCAGCTTAGACAGGTAAGGCTGCGAGACTCTTTTCTCCAATTAGCACCCAAAAAAAGCTGGAAGTAGAGCTGTGGCTCAAGTGGTAGAGCACTAGCCTTCAGCAAAAAAAAACTTAGAGACAGAGTTCAATCCCCAGGACCAGGAAAGAAAGAGAGGCAGAAAGGCAGAAAGAAAGGCAGAAAGGCAGAAAGAAAGAAAGGCAGAAAGAGAGAGAGAAAGAAAGAAAGAAAGAAAGAAAGAAAGAAAGAAAGAAAGAAAGAAAGAAAGAAAGAAAGAGAAAGAAAGAAAGGCAGAAAGAAAGAAAGGCAGAAAGAAAGAAAGAAAGAAAAATAAAGAGAGAAAGGCAGAAAGAAAGAAAAGGCAGAAAGAAAGAAAGGCAGAAAGAAAGAAGAAAGAAAGAAAGAAAAGAAAGAAAGAGAGGAAGGAAGGAAGGAAGAAAGGAAGGAAGGAAGGAAGGAAGGAAGGAAGGAAGGAAGGAAGAAGGAAAGAAGGAAGAAAGAAAGGAAGGAAGGAAGGAAGGAAGGAAGGAAGGAAGGAAGAGAAAGAAGAAAGGAAGGAAGGAAGGAAGAGAAAGAAGGAAGGAAGGAAGGAAGGAAGAGAAAGAAGGAAGGAAGAGAAAGAAAGGAGAGAAATAAAGGAAGGAAAGAGAAAGAGGAAGAAAAGGAAAGAGAAGGGAAGGAAAGAGGAGGGAAGGAAAGGCCAGAAGAAGGGAAAGAAAGAACCTGTATCTTAGCTGAACTGTTGACTTTAAACCTGAGCACTACCTTAACCTCATAGAATGTTGAGAAGCTTAGATGAGCTCATATATGTAAATATGCTTAGAACAATGCTTGGCACAGATTTAACAACTTGATGAGTAAAAACTAATATGATCACTATCATTAGTTTAGGGGCTTAAAATTGATTGTTGACAAGTGTAGATAAGATGAAATTTTAAAATAAAATAAGGAGCCAGTTGGGTATAATTTAAATGGTCAGCCCATTTGGGACTGGTGGATGGAAAGCTATTGGTACTTGGACAAAAGAGATTTCAGGTCCACTTCCATAAGGAACACAACCTTTTCACAAAAGTGCCTTCATTCTAATGATAGTCTAATGATATTCATTCTAAGGATAGTCTAATATTTGACATTTTCTTTCCAAAAGAAGATCAGGTACAGTGATGGAGAGTTCAATTTGGGATAGCAGAAATTAGACTATTTTAAGACTATTTTTTTCCTTTCTTTCTTTGACTCTAAAAACTTTGATGAATTTATTCTTTGTTCTTTTTCTTTTCATTCTATGTGTGTGTGTGTGTGTGTGTGTTTGTGTGTGTGTGTGTGCTGGTTTTGAGCTTGAACTCAGGGCTTGGGTGTTGTCCCTGAGTTTTTTTTTTGTTTTGTTTTTTGGGTCCGGTCATGGGGCCTGAACTCTGGGCCTGGGCGCTGTCCCTCAGCTCTTCAGCTCAAGGCTAGCGCTCTACCACTTGAGCCACAGCGCCACTTCCGGCTTTTTTCTTTTTGCTTATGTGGTGCTGAGGAATTGAACCCAGGGCCTCAGGCATGCAAGGCAAGCGCTCTACCACTGAGCCACCTTCCCAGCCCCATCCTTGAGTTTTTTTGCTCAAGGCTAGAGCTCTACTACTTGAGCCACAGTTCCACCTCTGGCTTTTTTTGGTAGTTAATTGGAGATAAGAGTCTCAAGGACTTTGTTGCTTGGGATGGCTTTGAATCACAATCCTTAGAGCTCAGCCTCCTGAATAGCTCAGGCGTGAGACACTGGTGTCTGACCTTTAATGCATTCTTAGTGTAGTTTTAGAATATATTAAGCCCTCAGTTTTTTTTTTTTCTGGAGAAAGATAAATTCAGAATGGAAAAAATACACTCATGTAGCTAATACGGTTAAAAAAAAATTTTTTTTGAGTAAGGAAAAGATAGATTACCTATCTAGCCCTACTATAAATAATTGCTACACCTGGAATCCAGCAACTTAATTGGACGTCAAATGATTAAAAACCAAATCATCTATCTAAGATCAGTCAGTGTGACTAGAGCACGTCTAAATTTAGAATCTTTCATTTTGCTTTACAACACCTTCAATGAATCCTAATTTGCCATCCTATGCTTGGCAAGCTATATCCCAAGACAGGGCAGCCATCTTTCTTCAGCAAGAAGTGGCTGTCCTCCCAAAAAACTGTCCTATCAAGGGCTATGATAAGATGTTTTTCTACTCAATGTAAGTGTAAAGAAAACTACAAGAAGAAAAATACAAAGGGAAAAAGTGTCTTGACGTTGGCCTAATCAATGATATTTGGGAACAAGACCTTAGAGGAAGTTCAAGGGACAAAAGTCAAAGAGATGAATGAGATTGCATCAAACCGAAGGTCTCTCCACAGCAAAGCAAACAGTCCATGAATGAAGAGACAACCTATGGAGAAGAGAAATACTTACAAACCATGTATCTAATAAGGAATAAATAATACAATAGCAAGAAAGTAAGTAATGCTACTCAAAAGGACACAAATAACCCAAAATATTTCTCAAAGGAAGCCCTAAAAATAGGTAACAGGAACGTGAAAAAAATTCTCAAAAATCATGCATCATCCTAGCAATCAGGAGGCCGGGATCTGAAGCCAGGTTGGGCAGGAAAGTCTCCAATTAACCAGCAAAAAAGCTAGAAGTGGAGGTGAGGTTCAAAGTGGTAGTGCACCATCCTTGAGTACAAAAGCTAAGAAGAGAGTGCCCAGGCCCTGAGTTCAAGCACCAGGACTGGCACTATAAATAGATAGGTAGATAGATAGATAGATAACCTGAATGTCCACCAATGGATAAATGGATAAAGATACGGCAGTACATACAGACAACAGAATGTCATTCAGCCAAGAAGGAAATCTAATGAAGTCAAACACAAACAGAGCAGAATGGAGACTGCAGGGGTGGAGGTGGTGGTGGCCAAACCCTATAAAGTTTGGGGAGGTATTGGATAGCATACTATAGACAGTTTATAATAATGTATTATATGCTTAAAACATATAGAAAAAATACATCTTAAACATTATCACCATCAACAAAGAATAAGTATAATTGGACTATGATAAGTAGCTTGATTTCTTCATTTTACAATGTATCTTTATGTTAAAATATCATTTAATTAAACATAAATACATAAATTTTTTTTGTGTGCCAGTACTGGGCCTTGACTTTAGGGCCAGGATTCTGTATCTTAGCTTTTCCACTCAGGGCTGGTGTTCTACCACCTGAGCCATACCTCCACATTGGCTTTTTGCCAAGTCTCCTAGACTTATCTGCCTAGGCTGATTAGAGCCATGATCCTCAGTTCTGTCTCCTGAGTAGCTAGGATTACTGGCATGAGCAACTGACATCCAACCTAATGTAGACAATTTTTGTTTGTCCATTTTATCTTAATAAACTTGGGAGGAAGATAAAACATATTAAAATTTTTCCAAGTTTTAAAATAACACATTAAACTTGCTAAAAAGATAATAAAAGGGAATAATGGGGGAAGACTGATATGTTGACTTTTTAAGCATATTTAATATTGCCTCTATCCTGTGTTCTCATGTTTCTCTAGGGATACTTCCTTCAAATTAGGTGATTTTTAATAGAGCAAGTGACATCTTACCAGGAAAGGAAGATTTTAATGAATATTTATAAAATTTCCAGTGTAATCCTCTGTTCATTTTAAAAGATGTAATGGCCCTTTCTCAAAATTTCATTTTATTAAAAAATCAATTTCCAATGAGACAGAATTAAGATTACTTTCTAATCTTTTCTAAGGGATAATGAGCCTCAATGTTTATATTTAACAAGCTTATCTTTTACTTTTTGCTATATTTTACTTGTTTGCATCAAATAACATTGTGTGTGTGTGTGTGTGTGTGTGTGTGTGTGTGTGTGTGTGTATGTGTGTGTATATGGAGGTACTAGGACTTAAACTCAACCTGGGCACCATCCTTCAGCTTTTTCACTCAAGGCTGGCACTCTACCACTTGAGCCGCACCTCTATATCTAGCTACCAGTGACTTGGAGACTACCAGTCACTTGGAGATAAGGATTTCAGGGGCTTTCTTGCCTAGGCTGGCTTTGAACTGCAGTCCTCAGATCTTAGCCTCCTGAATAGCTAGGATTACAGGTATGAGGCACCAGTACTCAGCTAATCACATTTCTTTAAAAACAAATTTAATAAGTCTGTTGGAAATTCTAAAGACTGAATCCTGGTATTGGGGGCAAGATAGGGTGTATAAGGAAAAGCCATATACTTTACCTGCATATATTTTATCTATTATAAAGAAGAGGAAGAGAATTTTTTTGTTGAAAATACTGTATAGTCAGGTGTCTGGTTCATGCCTGCAATCCTAGTTACTGAGGAAGCTGAGATGAGGATTGCAGTTTAAAATTAACCTGGTCAAGAAAGGCCATGATGGGGGCTGGAAAGGTGGCTCAGTGGTAGAGCGCTTGCCTTGCATGCACGAGGTCCTGGGTTCGATTCTCAGCACCACATAAGCAAAAAGAAAAAAGCTGGAAGTGGCGCTGTGGCTCAAGTGGTAGAGCGCTAGCCTTGAGGGGACAGTACCCAGGCCCAGAGTTCAGGCCCCACGACCGGACCCAAAACAAAGAAAGTCCATGAGGTTCTCACTTTCACTTAAACAGCACAAATGCCAAGAGTGGAGCTGTGACTCAAGTGGTAGAGTGCTAGTCTTGAGCATAAAAGCTCAGGGACAGCACCCAAGTCCAGGGATGGGCACCAATATAAATATTAGTAAGCATTGGCTTAAATATGGTTCCTAATACCACTGCACTATTTAAAGAAATATCTCTTTACCAGCATTCCAGTGGACAGATTTTCAAAGTCATTGAGGGAATATGGTGGATATGGTGTCAAGACACATGGCAAGTTAGTAACCAGGGTTCTTTCCTTTCTCTCATATAATTTCTGGGCCTCTTTTCTATGTTTGATGGAAGGCCTCAAGAACCCAACTGTAAGACTTTGCTCTAGCTGATCACTGGTGGTTAATGCCTGTAATCCTAGTTACACAGGAGGCTGAGATCTGAGGATCACAGTTTAAAGTCAATCCTGGGCCTAAAAAAATTTTGTGATATGTAGGACAAGTAGAAAAGCTCAAAAGCTATGTACATATGACCATATAAGATAATGTTAAGCTAAATGAACCCCAAGATAGGGACACAAATATTTTTTTCTTTCTTGCTATTGTTTCTAACATATTTATAATGTACCATGTGATTTTTTGTTTCTTTGTATGTTCCTCCCCTATGGTATAACCCTTGTTTTCACTGTTTTTGATGTCAGTACCCTGAATCTTGTATATACATTTGTCTAATTTGGGGAGAGGAAGGGAAAAAACAAAATGCTTAAATAGGGATACAGGTTGACCCATTGTAACAATGAAATGTACAAGAGACTATGTTGAAAATGAACTTTACAACTTTGGCAGGGGAGAGAGGGAAGGGGGGGTAGTTGCGGAGGTGGGAGGGAAGGGATGGTAGGGGAAAACAAAGGAGGAGGCAACAATGCTTGATAGGAAATGGACTCATTACCTTGCTCATGTAACTGTAACCCCTCTGTGCAGTATTTTTACAATAAAAAACATACAAAAAAGTCTGTGAGACTCTTATCTTCAACTAACTACCAATGAAAACCAGAGGGAGAGCTGTGGTTCAAGTGGTAGAGGGCCAGCCTTGAGTGAAAAAGCTAAGGGACAGTGCTCAGGCTCTAAGTTTAAGCCCCATTACAAGCATGAAAACAAACAAACAAATAAATATAAAATCATCCTTTAGTCAGGCTTGAGCTAGAGGTAATCTCCTCTGTTTTCATGATTCTAAGATTACATATTATTCCCGAATGATTCTCTAGTGTGCATTTCTGGTACAAACTATTTCCTAATTTCAGACTCAGATACTGTCTTTTCTATGTCATCCTTACTTGGTTGTTATATTTAACAACCCTCTAGTCAATATGTACAAAAGCCTTCTCCCCTAAATTCCTGTTCCAGTGTTCCCCACTTTAGAAATGGGCCCATCCAATTATACAGGACAAAACACTAAGAGTCGGTCATCTTATGTGTCTCCACCCTACCCTGGATGGGTCTCTCTACCTCATTTCTTCTGACCCTGGCCAATGTCACTACTATCATCTCCAAATGACCCATTTCCTGACTTTACTTTCTTGTAGTTCTCACACCACAAGGATTTTTAGAATTTAAACCTGGTCATTTTAACCTGCTCTCAACTCCCCTTTAGGAAAACAATGAGAAGGAGAGGGAGAAGAAAAGGAAGCGGGGGGGAAGGGGGGAGGCGAGGGGGGAGGCGAGATGAGAGAGAGAAACCAATCCAGTGTCATCTGCATAGCCTTCAAAGTCCTATATCATCAGAGCCTCTTTTCCTAACTCACTTTTGGCCATTTTCTTCTCATTCATAGCTCTAGCCACCTTAGCTACTTGAGAAATCTCTTGCCATGTTTCCAGACCCAGATGGGGCAGCTTTTGAATTCAATTTTCATTGCCTGGAATGCTCCCCCTCCCCAACTCCCGCTCCCTGATATTTAACTATAAGGCATGATTTCTCATTCTTTTCCTATCTAGTTTCAGTTACCTTCTCAAAGACACTTCCTGCAAAGTCACAATGTACAACAGCTTCTCCGGTCCTCTCTTGAATCTATCCCCATTTTCTGTTTTTCTTTATTATTCATTATACAGACTATTATTGTGTTATGATAGTTTATTTATTTAACCAAAGGCAGTATCCCCCATCCTAGCATTATATCCACGAGTACATATATGTTTTACTAATTTGGAAGTACATGATACATACTTACAACAGTATCTCCCACATAGTAGGCACTCAGTAAATATGTGCAGAAGGAATTGGTGAAGTTTCCCAGAAGCCAGACTTTAATACAACAACATAGGCACGTAGACTGGACCACACTATCTTCCTCAGGAATATGGTTACTAAGGAGATTTGCTAGACACCCAAGTCTTCTTGAAGGTTAAGTATTCCAAGTCTACCTTTGACATACACACACGGCCACATTTACCTATCCAAAGGAACAAAGAGAACTTGTACCAGGCTGGGATGTAGCTAAGTGGCAAAGTGCTTGCCTAGAAAGTGCAATGTCCTGGATTCAATCTACAGTACCAAAAAAGAAAAGACAAAAAAAATACAGTTAAAAAAGAACAACAACAACAACAAAAAAACAACCCTGAGATACTACCTCACCCCAGTCAGAATGGCCCACATCCTAAATTCAGCCAATGACAAATGCTGGAGGGGATGCAGAGAAAGAGGAACCCTATTGCACTGCTAGTGGGAATGTACACTAATACAACTACTTTGGAAAGCAGTCTGGAGGTATCTCAAGCTAAATATAGACCTCCTGTATGACCCAGCCGTACCACTCCTAGACATCTATCCTGAACAACAGGAATCAGGATGCAAAGGCACATGCACTGTTTATAATAGCCAGAATATGCAAACAACCCAGATACCCCACTACAGATGAGTGGATCCAAAAATTGTGATACCTATATACAATGGAATATTATGCAGCCGTTAGAAAGGACAAAATAATGGCATTTGCAGGGAAATGGATGAAACTAGAAAAAAATCATGTTGAGTGAGGTAAGCCAAGAGCAAAGAGACAAAAAGGCACATGGTCTTCCTGATAAGTGGATGTTAAATCCAAAATGTAAGGAGATATGACAAAGTAAACAAGACTTGAGAAACAAAGGACCTCCACTCATCTGGTCATATCATTACTAAATGACCCCATGCTGCTGACCGCATATATGGGATATATGTGCATATCTGAAGGCAACTAGGAGGAGGACACAGAAACAGAGGGAAACAGGGGAAAACATACAACAGAGGGGCCCATCAGCTGCACTGGACATTGAATACAATGAACTGAGCAACTCAATGGCAGCGATGGGAGGGAGGGAATGAGGGGGGAAGAGGGAAAAGCTAATACTAAGCAAAAGGAAAGCAATATACATATCATCCAATATGGAAGAAATAACTGTATTGTCAAAGCTCGTGGAATTCATAAACTTTATAAACCATGATAAAGGCAATTTGCCCCATGAAGGTTAGAATATGTTTGTGACTTTAACTAAGTATCACTATCCCAAAATTCTGTGAAATTTATGTAATCACTTAATCACAAAAAAAGAAGAGAACAGGTACCAGACTCAGTGACTAAAGAAGTTACTTGCTTTTTTTGTGTGTATGTGGCCAGTCTTGGGGCTTGAACTCAGGGCCTGGGTGCTATCTCTGAGTTTTTGTGCTCAAGGACTCCACCACTTTGAGCCACAGGCTCCACTTCCAGCTTTTATGTAGTTAATTAGAGGTAAGAGTCTCACATACTTTGCTGCCTGGGCTGGCTTCCAACTGCACTCTTCAGATCTCAGCCTTCTAGGATTATAGGTGTAACTGGCACCCTACTTAAAGTAGTTATTTTGTCTGTTATTTATCTGTGGTTTCTGGTTTCTCAGTCATTGGCAGGATATTTTTATGGTGAGATTACTGTTTCAAAACAACTCATGCCTTTGTTTAGGTCCTAATTCCCCAAGTAGTGATTCTTTAGCAGTTTTCCAGCAATCTGCTTCTAATGAGGATAGCCAATCTTGTGAAATTTGATTGGGAAGTTAATATTTTCTGGTTCCCTTAGCCAAAATCTTAATGCCATTTTTAATGCCATTTTTGAATCTGTTAAATGAATGCAATAAAGGACCCATCTGAAAAAGAGTCTTGAAGTCCTAAAAAGTTTTTTTTATGTGAGTTCTCTACTTTTTTATATTTTTTTATTGTAAAAATACTGTACACAAGGGTTACAGTGTAATGAGTCAGGTAATGAGTACATTTCCTATTGAGCATTGTTACCTCCTCCTTTGTTTTTCCCCTACAATCCCTTCCCTCCACATCTTCCCAACTCCCGCCTCCCTGCCCCCCCCCAAAGTTGTAAAGTTTGTTTTCTTTCTTTTTTAAAAAAATTTTTATTTTTTATTGTGAACATACTGTACAGAGGGGTTACAATTACATGGGCAAGATAATGAGTACATTTCTTATCAAGCATTGCAGCCTCCTCCTTTGTTTACCCTTCACATCCCTTCCCAGCCTCCTCCTACCCCCCCCAATCCTCCCCCCCCCCCACCAAAGTTGTAAAGTTCGTTTTCGACATGACAACTTGTACTTCTCATTGTTGTAACGAGTCCACAGTTATCCTTAAACGACTTGTTTTTCCCCTTCTCCTCCACAAATTGTACCGACATCAAATATAGTGAAAGCAGGGGTTATACTGTGGGGGAGGGACATACAAAGCAACAAAGAAATAATCTTATAAATGCATTAGAAACAATCACATGAAAGAAAAAAAACATTTAAATACATATCCAAGGGTTCATTTTCCTAACATCACATTATCTGACCTTTTAGAGTAGAACAGTAATTATAAGAAGATTAAAAATCAGGCTCTACTGGTTC